CAATTTGTCACATAAAATCATTTAAGCATTTAGACAATTAACATTTAATAATAATAACCACAATATTAATAATAACAATAATAATAATGATAATAATAATCCAATTTATTCATAAACGAACGGGGCGTTACAACCAGATTGTTCGCTCTAACCCAAGCAAGAAAGAGAGATGGATTCTGATCAAGGTTAGGGACAGAAACCGTACCGTCAACAAACCCTAGTTTGTTTTTGACGCTCAACGCCATCTTAATCGCTCTCGACCATGACACGTAGTTGTCGCCATTGAAAGTCTCGGCAAAGATGAGTGCACCGGGGTTATCCTCGACGTGAAGATAGAACAGCGAAGTTGGATCGTCGGAGGGATTTCCAGAGGTAGCCATATCAATCGATCGCAAATTTTGACAACAAGGCGATTAAAATTGTAAGATCTAGAAACAGAAGGAACATGATTGCAGCGGAAAATAAAAGGATCAAGGATCAAATACTGGGAAAAAGATAACATGTTGAGATGTGCGAAATCGGGAGAAGAAAAGGGATAGTTGTATATTGCGATTGAAAGAGAAAATGTAAAATGTACAAAATGGATGTTAGGGTTTACAAAACACCCTATTTATACTAATACATAATACAAGTAAATTGCTATTAACCAAATGACAACTTTAACCTAAACTAATGAGGTACAACAAATAATGAGTAAAGTATAACTCATAATAGTTTGCAGTGGAGCTTTTTGTCGAGACACAGTATATGTAGGGGAGACTTGTGGTTCATTTGAGAGGACTTTAATGACTTGCTCAACAATCAGGAAAAAAAAGGAGAGAATATAAGAGAGGAGTCTAGTTTCAATGATTTTACAACTTTTGTGAGAGGCTTTAATGGGGTGGAGCATAGGTCCGTAGGTCTCCAATTCACCTGGTCTACCCTTAGACAAGGAGCTGAGTTGTTGAAAAGTAGGCAGACAAATTTTTCTTCTCCCCTAGATGGTCAGATCAGGCTCTTAATGCATAATACAAGAAAAGGTATTAAGGAGTACATAAAATTGATGCTCTCTCATATTTTTATTATTTGTCACTTTGGCTTAATGGATCATTGATTAAATAAATGTCGTTTTTGGCATTTTTGTTCATATTTTTCCATTTTTAACCCTACCTCAATGCACAATGTCTCTTCATATCACATTTCAATAGTTTCCCATAACATCCATTAAATAGGGTCAATATTGGCAAGAAAAAAATTCTTAATTAGCGTGTTGCTTCTCAAAACGACAAATAATAAAAATATGAGGGAGTATATAAGTTCGAAAACACTCTATATATACGGAGAGAGATCGAACTAAATAATTTTCAACCTTATAAATTACTGAAATTGTACCATGTATTGAAAAAAAAACAGAGGCATTTTTGTTTTTTCCCCTAGTATTGATTAGAGATGACCAGGTGCCGGGCTGCGACCCGGCCTGGCCCGCCGGGTCGGCGGGCCTCAACATTATGGCCCGTAACCGGCCCGAAAAAACATATGGGCCGGTTCATAGAACCGGCCCGGAACCACCGGTTCACCAGCCCGGCGGGTCTCGGACGGTTCCGGGCCGATACGGTCCTTAAAAATCCCAAAAAAAGCAATGTGACCGGGCGCGACCCGGCGCGGTTCGGCCCGACCCG